GATCTGAGCCACAGTCAGCTCCTGGTCTTGTTTTTGCTGACCATATAGAACTTCTTCATCTTTGGCTGCAAAGAATATAATTAATCTGATTTCAGTGTTGACCATCTGGTTATGTCCATGTGTAGAGTCTTCTCTTGTGTTGTTGGAGGAGGGTGTTTGCTCTGACTAGTGCGTTCTCTCAGCAAAACTGTATTAACCTTTGCCCTGCTTCATTCTGTACTCCAAGGCCAAATTTGCTTGTTACTCCAGGTATTTCTTTTATACCATTATACTTCCTTTATAGCACTTAACCATTTTCTGAAATTGATTCCTTTTGTGTACTAATTTTCCTTAACTATTTACAAATATTTTAATCACAAGCATTTATCCCTACCCCGTGCCAAAATAGTGCCTGGACTCATAACAAACCTGATGATGAGATTGATCCCAGGGATGACTATAATTACAGGAGTCTTAGATTACTCTGTGAAGTATTTCTACATTCATGTTGAGGTCCTTCACGTCATCTGAAATTCCTTAACCTTACATCTTTTCTACTTTTCCAAATCACATTGTCTGAATATTTAGTCTCTGAACTCATTTTCTCATTAGAGATGATACCTGCTTTCATCATAAGATCTTTGATAAAATTATAGTTAGAAGGTTAGCATATCAGGTAAAACAGTCTTTCTTAAAACAAATTAATTTTTGGAAGTGTTTCTGCTTTTCAGATTAGTAGGGATTTTACTTGATAATATTCATTGCCTTATCATACATAATTTTGCCTTGGATTTATTTCTATATCTCACTGCCCAGCTAATTTTCTCAAAGTCTGAATTGTCTACATATCTTGTCTGTAGTACTAAATATAACATCTCATAATTAGGTATTCAAAATTAACTAGTGGGTATAGATGTCATTATCTTTGTGAAAATATAGAAAAGAAATATAAGATTAATGGGTGGAATGGCAAGTTGATCTTTGGATATACCCAAAGTTTCCATTTCTTTGTGACTCAAAAATAGCCCCATTTCATTCTGTATATATATACTTATGCTTTGCTTTTCAGAAATTATAACAGGGCAGCTTATAATGATATATACGTTACAGTGGGCTTCCCTGGTGGCTCAGTGGTAAAGAATCTGCCTGCCAGTGCAGGGGACACAGGTTTGATCCCTGGGTCAGGAAGATCCCCTGGAGAAGGCAATGACAACCCACCCTGGTATTCTTGCCTGGGAAATCCCATGGACAGAGGAACCTGGCGGGCTATAGTCATGGGGTTTCAGAGTGGGACACGACTTAGTGACTAAACAACAACAAACAACTCAAGTTATAGTAGCGTAACAACCACAAATAGGCTAAAGGATAAACAACTGTAGAGAATTAAAGTTGAGCTAGAGACAAACATCCTTGAATCTGGTATACTTGTTATAATTGGCTATAGATTCTTTACTTTGAAAATTCTAATAACCAGTTCAGATGGGGAGATATATCAGTTTCCATGGTTCATTGTTCAGTCTGGAATCATCTATTCTTACCATTTTTGTTTTAATGGTAAAAAGTTCAGATGAATGATGTCTGCTCTGAGAATTAGTGATGAGATCAGAGTTTATGGTGCTATTTGGATTGGATAGCCTTGTTTGGCTTGTGCACTGAATTTGATAATAAAATATTAAGTTCTCTAAAAGAATGGCAAGCTTAATCATGTAAATATTTTGGAAAGTTTAGTACTGAAATGCCCACTGAAACTCTAATATACACCAAGTATTACACATCTCAAAAATTAAACCAGAAAGGCCATTATTTGTTATTGACGATACTATAATATTATCAAAATTCTCTTTTTTTAAAGGTATTGTCCTTCCTGTAAAACTGATTCTAGTGAAGTTGTAAAGGCTGGTGAAAGGCTCAAGATGAGTAAAAAGAAAGCCAAGATGCCATCAGCTAGTACTGAAAGCCGAAGAGATTGGGGCAGGGTAAAGAAGGAAGTCTTTTTCTTCCTAGCTATAATGTTTATAACTGTAATGCAAGTTACAATGTTTCGATTCCAGTAGTAGTAATGGTATAAGTGATCATCTGAAATGTTAACAAATAACGATATTGATTAATCATATAGATTGTTAGGATATGCCTGATGGCCCAGTGGTTAAGACTCTGCTCTTCCACTGCAGAGGGTGTGAATTCGATCCCTGGTTGGGGAACTAAGACCCTGCATGCTGAGCAGTGTGGCCCAAAAAAAGGGGAAAAAAAAGTTAAATATTAATCACATAAGTTGTAGGGTTTTATTTTATCTGCATTTTATGGGGATTAAGGGCTTTCTTTAAGATTTCTCAAACAACTTGTTTGGTACCTTGTAGGGAATGGCCTGTGTTGGTCGCACTAGAGAATGTACTATTGTTCCTTCCAATCATTATGGACCTATTCCTGGAGTTCCTGTTGGATCAACTTGGAGATTTAGAGTTCAGGTATGTTTTAGATTGACTTAGTCAAAAGAGTAAAATTGGGTATACCTCACATTGTAGCAGTGTTAATGTCAGTTGATTCTAAGTGAAGTGATGTAGGTAGTTATCATTTGGCATTCATTTGTTAAAGTGAACGATTTCCTGTAGGATGATTAGGCACTTCCTCATAGCTTAGCAGACAGGAACATAACATCGTGGACTTGGGCATCATCTAAGCCTTTGTATCACTTTGTTTTATTTTTCTGTTATTGTTATAGTAGTTAAAGTTATTATTCAATATTCTGAAGAATAGGCATTTAGTTTAACAAGTACTGTGTTTTTTACAAATGGAAAGTTTTTGGCAACACTTTGTCCAACAGGTCTATTGGTGCCATTTTTCTGATAGCATTTTTAAATTAAGATATGTACATTTTTTGGACATAATGCTATCAAGCACTTAAGACTACAATATAGTGTAAATAGTGGCTTTTATATGTACTGGGAGCCCAGAAAATTCATGTGGCTTGTTCTATTGTGATATTCACTTTACTACAGTGGTCTGGAACCAAACCTGAAATATCTCTGAGGTATGCCTGTACAATCATATTTATTTTTTATGCTATGCATTATTGAGAATATTTATATATAAAATAAGTTATAAAATACATTTCAGTTCAGTCACTCAATTGAGTCTGACTCTTTGCAACCCCATGGACTGCAGCATGCCAGGCTTCCCTGTCCATCACCAACTCCCACTTAATTGTCTTGTTCTTTGGTTATTTTTTTTGTTTTTAATTTTTCCTTTTTGTATACCTATCATTCATTCCCCAATTCTAAAAACCTCATTAATATGGTCTAAGATGACTTTGAAGCCATTGACTTGAATAACTAGAAGGATAGATTTGCAGTTTAGGAACTAGGGAAGATGCAGCACAGATTTATTTTGGGGGTTGTTCATGAAGCTGAGAGTCAGATGGTCCTTGCTTCTAAAATACTTGGTGTTTCCAAGGCCTCAATCCAGGTTCTGTTGTTTTTATCAGCTTCTCATTGACTTAATGTACCTCTTTACCCAGCCCACTGTACAGGCTTGGATTTCAGTTTGCTTTACTCTGAGAACAGTTGTGTAATAAACAAGTAAATCAGAATACTTCTCTTGGGGAGTTTGAAGTACATGAAGAAGTGACACTTAGTTTAAGTGAGCCAGAATTAAAGGTATATGGGGAAATGTAGTAAGCCCATTGTAATAAACTAAAAATGAGTGCTATGTTTGAGTTTTACTGAGTAATTGGGCTCAGATGTATAAATTCCATAAAGAAGAAACTGGATATAAGGATGAGAAAGTAGGTAGGAGCCCAGTTGAGAGAAGGCAACATATAATACTTAACTTGGGCTTGATCTATTACGACCATTTAGTACATGTTAAGCATTTGAAAATTAAAAGAAGATTTGTTCTTAAAAGGGTTATTCTGTTTGTGATGGGTAGAAGGAATTGAAGGAACAAAGCTGGAGGCAGTGAAAAAGGGTATGATTTAAGTATTTATGACTCAAATTAGAATTATATCAGTGACTGTGGAAAATGATGGATTTGAGAAGATTAGGAAATCAAATCAGCAATGTTTACAACCAGATGGGTTTGAAGAATACAGAAAAATGAGGCTGAAATTACTGTTGTCTGTCTGACTTGACTGGGCTTCCCTGCTGGTTCAAATGGTAAAGAATCTGCCTGCAATGCAGGAGACTTGGGTTCAATCCCTGGGTCGGGAAGATCCCCTGGAGAAGGGAATGCAACCTACTCCAGTATTCTTGCCTGGAGAATTCTATGGACTGAGGAGCCTGGTGGGCTACAGTCCATGGGTCGCAGAGTCGGACATGACTGAGCAACTAACAATTTCACTTTGACTTGACTAGGAAACAGTACCATAATGAAAGATGAGAAATGAGAAGAGGAGTTCTGGAAAACTGATAGTAAATTATTTTTCACCTGAATTGAGCTGGAATTACCAATAGCACAGGATGATGATTATTTAATAGTTGCTTGAAACTCAAAATTCTAGGCCTGAGCAGTTTTGTGAGTCATTACTTCAGTACCTGAGGAATATATAGTTGGGGAGAAGTAAAGTCTGAGCAAAACGTAGAATTCTGGGTGACATTCGGTTCTTAGTTGGAAGCTTTTAGGATACAGTAACATATGTGAAACCATTTTGTAAATTAACTTAATGAGCTGTTTGAAGGTATTTTGAGTCTCACTTGATGTTATAGGTGAGCGAAGCAGGTGTCCATAGACCCCATGTTGGTGGAATTCATGGTCGGAGTAATGATGGCGCTTACTCTCTTGTCCTGGCTGGTGGATTTGCGGATGAAGTAGTAAGTCATGATGCAACCTTGTTCTTTAGAACCTGTCTTGATTATTCAGTAAAATACAAAGCGTTGTCGAGGATAAATCCCATCTCTTTTAGCATCACTTTTGTGTTGAAGTGGTCAGTTCTATACAAGTAACATAGTAAATCAGTCAGCGTCTTTAATCATTGCATGTGCTGATTACTGCAATGAAAATAGTCACATTTTCTTTAGAGCTCATCTTAATTTGGGCATAATTGTAGATTGACATGTAGCATTAGAAATAATACAGAAATGTCTGTGCCCTTTACTCAATTTCAGCCAATGGTAACATCTTGCAACACTAGGCCAATATCACAACCAGGATACTGACACTGCTATACATTCAGAACACTGAACATTTTCCTTACTGCAAGGGTCCCTCACATTGCCCTTTTTTAGTCACCATACTATTTCTGCTTTCCCAATACCCCTTAACTCTAGACAACCACTAATTTGTTGTCCATTTCTATAATTTTGTCACTTAAAAATTTTTTATAAATGGAATCATATAGTGTATAATCTTTGGGATTGGCTTTATTCAGTCAGCATAATCCTCATTGTGGCATGTGTCAGTCGTTCATTCCTTTCTATTGCTCAGTAGTGTTCCATTGATATAGGTGTATCACAGTGTAACCATTCACCCATTGCAGCAAATAATGTTGCAATAAACATTTGTGTACAGGGGGTTTTGTGTGTGTAAATATGAGTGTTTGTTTCTTTGGGATAAATGCCCAGAAGTATAATTGCTGGGTTGTATGGTAGTTGCATGATTAGTTCTTTAAGAAACTGCTTACCCCTCAAAAAAATGGTGAGGAAAAAAAAAACTGTCAAACTGCCATTGTGAAGTCAATCCAGATACTGTCTGAAAGACCGTATCTGATCAATTTAAGTATTCTGGAATTTTTAATATGTACTTTTTATTAGAATTTCTTCAAATGATGTATACACTGAAGATGAATTCCTTAATGCCTTATTCCTTAAAATATAAACCTCAGTGTTGAATCAACAAAGTGTTTAACCCAAACCTCAGTTTGGATATGCAGAGGGTCCCTAAAGTTTTGGGACGTATAAAAACACTTAAAATCATGAAATTTTAGTTCTGATTCTTAGTCCAAAGGAAAAATTAGATGAAAAACCTTTATTACAAGCAAGAATGAAGTAAAAAAAGTCATTATATTCAGTCTGAATTAATTAAAATAATCTTGCATTGAAGAACCACTATTAAGATAGAGTTAGTAGAAGTAATTTACATACTGCTGGTTTTCTTCGTTTAAGTACTGAATCAGGTAGAAACTTAACAATATAAATCTGTAGTTAAATTCTTTTCTAACTTTCTTCTTAATTATATGCAGTTGTCTTACCCAAATATAACCTGGCTAAACCCATAGATTTTGAAATGTGAGAAACTTACAGTGCTATTAGGATTGTGGTATAGATTGCTGTTGAGAAATCAGTTTTGGAGTATTTATTAAAATGATGCCCTGTAAAGAACCTACAAACATAGTATTGATATATTTATTTTAATAACATTGAATTAAATTAATATTCCCAACCTATAAGATCTTATTTTGTAACATTCTATAGATTATTTGTATATTACAAGAATAGTTATGTCTGGAGGTGTTGGAAGCTATAATATTAAAATGAAATCTTTAGATCAAGTGATGGAGCTTGAAGGTATATTACACACAAGACTATATTTGAATTTTCCCTTATTTTGGTAGATACCTTGAGAGAACATGTCAGCTTATAACATCCTAACCAAAGTTCTGGCAATGAAATAAGAATTGGTAAAATCATACCTGGATTTAGATGTTTAATGCCAAAAATGTTCTTCTGCAGGACCGAGGTGATGAATTCACATACACTGGGAGTGGTGGTAAAAATCTTGCTGGTAATAAAAGAATTGGTGCACCGTCGGCTGATCAAACGTTAACAAACATGAACAGGTATTCTTTATTGTTGGAGTTTATAAAAACTTTAGAATTTGGGCTTTGTATTAACAGTTGGACTATAGGACTGTAATTTGTAACTTACACTGTAGAGAAGAATCCTAAAGTGTAAGTTAATATAGCTAAAATAAGAATCTTATTACCTGATTAATATAAATTAATTATAAATAAGTATTATATAAATACTTATAAGCTTTCTAACTTAGTATTATTCTTTTTTAAATGACATAATTCCCAGTCTTAATACGTGTGCTTTGCATTTGGAAACATGTTGAAAACTTTGAAGAAAAGAAACCCATATAATTTAAGTGAAATTAAGGGCAAGGTGGCTTGCCTACTACTGCATAGGTCAGAGTTTTGTTCTACTAAACACAAATTTATCTTTCAAAGTGAGAAACTTCTTATTAGAAGAGACTAACGTGAAATAGGGTTATGTTTAAAAGCCACATTTATGTGCATGAAACATCAGATAACTTAATCAGAACTACACAAGGTGCTTTTTGAATTTATGATGTCTTTTAAGTGGTTAAAAAAAAAAAGCATCATTATGAAAGAGCCACCTTGTGCCAGCTTTATCCTACAGAAGAATTTATGATGTTCCAGCTTCCATGGGAATAGAAAGTTTAACTCAAATGTTTTATTTTGTAAATGCATGCTAGCACTAGAAATAGATTAAGTGACCCAAACCATCAGATAGCAGTGACCATGCTGTACTTGTCATAGTGAAAATTTTGCAATGATAAAGTTGAAACTTTTTGTATTTTATTATTAAGAATATTTTGTGGGCTATTGAATAAAAGTGAGTTTCGCTTTCCTGAGTCTAAATGACTCAGTTTTAAGTAGTGTGCCCTTAATTTCTGATTACTGTGTAAAGAATATACTTTGTGGTTTGAAGACTTTTGTTGTATTCCAAGTTATATAGAATCTGTTTTTATGTCTTCCTTCTATATTATTTCTGACAGTAGGATTATTATATTGAACCAGCAGAGGAGACAGATCAGATTTGCTGGTGAAAACATTGTTGAGGTAGAAGTCTAGTACCTATGCAGTCTTTTTCTAATGAGGAAGCAATTCTTTAGGAGGAATGATCTTAAAAAGAATTAGAAATATTTTGATGTGTATTGTCAATGTATCTTGATTTGCAAAAGGGCTTTTTTAAATAATAAGATTATTTGACTTGAATGAAACTTCCTTTGTAACTACCTGCACTTGTACATGAGAATTTCTTTTCAAGCTTGGAAGAATCTAATAAGTATACCCTGTTTATCATATGTTACAATCTCAGAAAATAATTGACAGGCAGTAAAAATGTCTATATTAATAAGGAAGGTAGTGAAAATGAAATAGTAACTCAGAACAATTCAGGATTAACTTATCACAGAGATGCTAACATTTCTTCAGTTAATTTATACACTAAACTGTGCATATACTTTGTGATTGTAAAGACCTCTTAGGCAAAGATACCTGTGTGTCTTACTATAAACATGAAAAGTGAAGTAAAAGACCCTTAGCTTTAACCCATAGTATATTCTTTCCTGGAGGGTATATGGTCTAATTCCTTTTTGCTTCTCTACTGAGAGGTAGTTTGATACCTGCTCCTTGCTTTTAAGAAGTTTGTTCCTATTTCTTCTCAGCTCTTCCACTTTATGAAACTGAAAAGGGCAGCAGGTAACCTGATCATCCTCTATCAGGACAATTAGGGGCAACCGATTGAGCTGTGGACAGAGTAATGGAAAAGCCTTTTGTTTTGCCTCGTTTCATCCTCTTAGACTCTACACAGACATGAACAGACTACACACTTACATGAAACTGGAAGTGAGTTCATAATGCCAGTTAGTGGTGGCATTCATTATGATGGAAGGTACCTGTGGCACCAAAGCATTCTACTCATTAACGGGAAGATAGTACATATCTCTATCTCAGTTCTTTTAGGGGATGAAGTATGTGTACCTCAGTAGATATTCCATAAATAATACCAATGCTGGAATTGATGGCTACAGTTTGTTCTACTTGAGAGAGTTCTAATGCATTTCCCATTTGAGATTTTAACAAAAAAAAAGATAATGAGCTTTAATGACACCTAAAAAAATTTTTTTAACAAAACACTTAAGTTCATTTACTTTAACTATGATAGAGATTATAATAGATTAGTCATTTAGTCTTAAATTTTTTTTTTTTTTTTTTTGAGCCTACATAAAAAGAACTATACTCTGGAAAAAAGCATTTTGTTCATATCTGATTTTACCAGATTTCAGGGGAGGGTGTCTGTGTATATTTTTTTAACCTTAAGTGTTCTCAGTGGATTCTTTCCACTTAAGTTAGAATACACGTGTCTTACAGAAGGAATCCTCAACCTCACAGATCTCATGCCTGATGATCTGAAAGTGGAGCTGATGTGATAATAATAGAAATAAAGTGTGCAATAAATGGAATGTGCTTGAATCATCCTGAAACTATCCTCCTCCAACCCCATTCCATGGGAAAATTGTGTCCCATGAAATGGGTCTCTAGTGCCAAATAGGTTGGCTACCACTATCTTAGAGGAAAAATACTAACTTTAAATAGTTCTAGTTTGTCTTTTGAAGGGCAGGACTGTGTTTCCCCAAGAAAGGTCTTCTAACATCTAATAACCTTACTGATTAGTTACCACTAGATGAGAACACATACTAAGGAAGGTTCAGCTAAATCAAGTGCCGCTTGCAGCTCAGTGTTCCTCCTCGTCATCATGTGTCATCAGTAAAATGTAGTGATCTTGAGCAGCCAAAAATCTTTATTGTCATGATTTAGCACAGGTATTTGAATGCTTCAGTTTTATTTAAACTTATCTTTTTACTGGAAATCTTTAAAGGATATCTTCATATTAAATTGTTCTTTATTATCTTCTAAACTTTAAGGAATCTCTGTCTGGAATATGGAAAGTAGACCAAGAAAGGTCATTTGTACCTTGCAGACAAATTTATTTTTCTGGATTTCTTTCTACATTATTCCCACAGTTTACCTTATTCCCTTTTCAAAAATAATGATTACAGCAGTCAACTTGCTTTAGTCTTCCAACTTTCTCCCTCCCCTCAACAACGTTATTTAAAGAAAATTCCATGTATTTCTAGTTGTTTTCTATTATACGTGGCACAGATGTTATTACTTTCAGAAGAACCCTACAGGCTATCTGAGAACCAATCCCCTGGCTTGGGGGTGACATCAGAAAACTGATTTGTCTTCTCTGCTGGTGGGGGAAAGCATAATCCTATTATCTGGAATAATATGGAAAGAATCATAGAATCTTAACCATCAGGTAAGGCATAATTCACCTTTTAAGTTAGCTAATGATGTGATTATATACTTGAAGAAAGATTACTTGGTATAAAGACTTTGTTTTATTTTTTAGGGCATTGGCCCTAAACTGTGATGCTCCATTGGATGATAAAATTGGAGCAGAGTCTCGGAATTGGAGAGCTGGTAAGCCAGTCAGAGTGATACGCAGTTTTAAAGGGAGGAAGATCAGCAAATATGCTCCTGAAGAAGGCAACAGATATGATGGCATTTATAAGGTGCTCTATCTGGCATGACATCTTGTTAGTCATTCTTCCTGGGCTTTCAAGACAGGGTTGCCACAGGGAACTGCTCTACTGTGGGTGGGCTAAAGGAAACAATAGACCTTCTTAGTTGGTCTTTCTCTGTTTTCTAGAAATAGAACATGCACAAAACAAGCTCTTAATTTTGATACTTGTCTTTTAAGACTTACCTGAAGTCCCTAAAGGCAGAGTTATATTTGGGGTTAAGCTTTTTATAAGTGATACACTCTTATGATAAAACTGTTCAAATAACTTGGCCGTTGTAAATATTGGATTCTTATATCTTCCAGAATGATTCTAACTGTAATAGATTTTTCAAAGTAGAGCACATTATAATTTTAAAATAGGATGCATTCTTTGTTTTAAAAATGAAGGCATCTACTGCCACCATTTTAATCTACTATGTAAAATTATATTGATGAGCATAATCTTGCTACAACTTGAAATTTATAGCAGTCTGCCCTTATGGGAATTATCATAATTAGGAAATAAAGTCAAAACAATATTTTAGTGCATACTTTTTACTTAATATTCCAGCAAAGCCAGTATCTTTCAAAGTTGCATTTAGTTCTGCCAAGTTTACTTAAAACACTAACATGACATTATGAATAAGTCTAAACTGTACATCTCAAACTAGCTGAAATATTATGATTTAGGTGGTGAAATACTGGCCAGAGATTTCATCAAGCCATGGATTCTTGGTTTGGCGCTATCTTTTAAGGAGAGATGATGTTGAGCCTGCTCCATGGACCTCAGAAGGAATAGAACGGTCAAGGAGACTATGTCTACGTTTACAGGTTAGATTACGTTTGTCTAGGCTACATGTATGTTCATTAAAATGTATGCCTGTGTACTATCTGTGTGCCTTAACACTGGATATAACCCACAGCAGTTGGTCAGTGGACTGTAAGGGGTGAGGAATGAGATCACACAAGTATAGGAAAGGAAAAGAAGTAAAAAAGCAGCCTCCTAGGTGTCAAACTGCCCTAAGACCAAGAATTGTGCTTGGGGAAAACTGGGCTTGACAATGAAAAGTAAAATACATTTGACCCTTAAACACCACAGGCTTGAACTACCTGGGTCCACTTACACACAGATTTTTTTCAGTAGCAAATATTGCAGTATATTTCTGCTGTTGGTTAAATCCCCAGATGCAGAGGGCCAACCATAAGGTACACAGGAATTTTTTACTTCTGTACAATTGGCCCCACCCTAACTTCCTACATTGTTTAAGGGTCAACCGTATTTCTGATTCACTCTGGACTTTAAGCATGAGGGAAAGGGATACCTGAAATTGAGGTATAGGAGACCTTGAGAAGGGAAGTTTTATGCTAGAGGGCACAGGGGGTGTGTCTCTGGTAGGGGAA